TACAGGGATAGGGTGGATGTGTAGAGTAGTGGATATTACAGGGGAGTAGGGGTGCGGATGTGTAGCAGTATGAGATAATACGAGGGATAGGGTGATATGGTAGAGTAGTGGGATATTACAGAGATTAGGCGGGGATGTGTAGCAAGGGAGTGGATATTACAGGGATAGGGTGGATGTGTAGAGTAGTGGATATTACAGAGATAGGGTGGATGTGTAGAGTAGTGGATATTACAGGGATAGGGTGGATGTGTAGAGTAGTGGATATTACAGGGATAGGGTGGATGTGTAGAGTAGTGGATATTACAGGGATAGGGTGGATGTGTAGAGTAGTGGATATTACAGAGATAGGGTCGGGATGGGTGCAGTAGTGGGGGGAATTACAGAGATAGGGGTGGAGTGTGGTAGAGTAGTGGATATGACAAGCTGGATAGGGGGGATGTGTAGACGTAAGCTGGAGTATGAGCAGAGATAGGGCTGGATGTAGGAGTAAGTGGATATTACAGGAAGGGTGGATGGTGTAGAGTAGGTGGATATTTACAGAAGATAGGGGTGGATGGTTAGAGTAGTGGCATATTACAGAGGAGATAGGGTGGATGTGTAGAGTAGTGGATATTACAGGGATAGGGTGGATGTGTAGAGTAGTGGATATTACAGGGATAGGGTGGATGTGTAGAGTAGCGTGCGCGGAGATTACAGGGACTAGGAGTGGATGGGCTAATAGTAGATGGATATTACAGGATTAGGGTGAGGTGTAGAGTAGTGGGATAGTACATGAGAATAGGCGTGGAGTGTAGAGGTAAAGATGGACTATACAGGGATGCGGAGATTGTTAGTAGCTGGATATTACACAGCGGATAGCGGTGGATGTGTAGAGTAGGGGATATGTACAGAGATAGGCGGGGAGGTTGTAGAGTCGTGGACTGATTTACAAGGATAGCGCGGCGATGCTGTAGAGTAAGTGCGATATTACAGGATAGGTGGGACTGTGGTAGAGTAGTGGATATTACAGAGATAGGGTGGATGTGTAGAGTAGTGGATATTACAGAGATAGGGTGGATGTGTAGAGTAGTGGATATTACAGAGAGTTAGGGCTTGGATGTGATATAGTGTAGAGAGTAGTTATGTATGTATAATTATAAAAGTATAAATAATCAAAAGACGGATAGAATTTTGTGTCACTAAGACTATATTGTTTACAAACAACCGGTCAGCCGTCAGCGTCACGTCGTCTGCTGGTCCAGTCGTCCCGTTAATCAAAATGCTCCTCCAAGGTCTTATATACGACATCTCTCGTCCAATCACAGCCCCAGTTCCCTTTTACTCTAACCAAGCGAGCACACACGCTCTCTCTATTTCAAACCTACGTGACGGGACGAAATCCCACACTGGCCAGCATTGTGTGGAAGCTGCGCAAACTGAACTCTGTAACCCATGAGCTGCTAGTGCCCCACCTAACTAATTCTAAATCTACATGCGAACCATGCCGTCGGATCTTACCCTGCTCCTATATTTAGCCGAGATCAATGAACATGATGGAAGACAGCTGTTACATTTACCTCCGACGGCATCAAAAACGAATGCATTCCCATCATCCGAATTCAGCGTCCGCTGATCTAAATGTCCGGGTTTAACTAATTCCCAAGCCCCGATACTCTAACACCACCCACACGCAACACCTGTTCCTGAACAGAAGGGATAGAAGCCCAAATCACAAAATTCTTCCCTTCTGTCCATCATACGTCGACAAGTAACTCCTGCTCACTGAACAATCCCCTTCCAAACATAAGAACTGCTACACAATTTACACAACGATACCACGGTACCAAGCCAGCACCATGGTATGCCCAACGCTAGGCGCGGTGACCCGTGCCGCCAACAAAATTCTCCACTGACCACAATGATATAATACCATACTTGACACGAAATTGCCAGTAAACCATCCGTGCAATAATACAACTCCTTAAAAACCCCTGAAACAACGACCCGGAAAAGAGAGAAACAACACACAGACTACACCAACCCAAGGCAAACACAACAAGCTCCATTAACCTACAAACACTGCAGAACCTGAAATAGAACCCCCAAAACCCCAAAATGGTACATAATCAGTAATACATACGGCATATACCTGAAATACAAACAAACAACTCAAGGAAATATAAACATACAATATAATAATTCTTTGCAGGTTCGAAAAAGAGCTGTGCCGGATGTTATGATGTCCGCCCTGTGCTCTTGATCCGCTGCGCTGCTTCTTCTGATTCGATGCAATATTGAAGAGTCGCGTCGTAATTGCTCATAAGGTGCCTTGCTGGCATTTGAATTTCTTCAATAGATGACAATGCCGTTTGCCAAAAGTTCACCCAGCACCCGATAAAGGTGCATAACACATTGAGCTTGACGGTGGTTAACAAATATTGCTTCTCACAAATTTGAAGATCGTATATTCTGCTGAATTTGCCGTTGAATTTCGCTCGAAGTATATGAAGTCACTGATCAGTGATGAAATTATGTTCCCTTCCGTCCGCTGCCAAAATGGGATAGGACTGCACTGCCACCTCGCATGTCGGCCGAAATATCGTGAGCCAATGCTGTGTAGTGGAACGAGTCGGGGCCGCAGGCACTCTCCTTCTCTGAATGTCCCCGCAAGCTGCCACAATATATAGAACAGCCGCAACAGATATCGCACTCCTAAACGATAATCATATGACCATAGCCTTCGAATATACTTCGAGAACTCACATATATCAACAATGCGCAATTCTATGTAATACCCACACGGTTGACATCCTATCACATACCAGCCCAACTTTACTGAAACACCCATCATTTATCAACTCATATTCATCATCATATCGTCCGGAATACTCTATATTTACATTGACATTTATAATCAGAACTATTTATTCATAGAGTAAAACCACAAATATTCACTTACTATTATACCTAACATCTCGTATTTTCAATTAATCTGGGGTCGCGATACGAGAAACCAAACAAAAATGATGAATCACGATATGAGTACTACATCCATAATACTAAACAATTAGCAAACATGCACTTCTGTATCTATACACATATTTACACCTCCGGGCCATCTCGCTCACCACGTCAACCGCTAACCCTGCTGCCACCTTCGCAAATGCCTTGTCGGGGCAAATTTCAATGCGCATGCGGCAATGTTTATAATCTCCCCACTACCCTTACGAAGCTGCACGCACAACGTGTGTCTACCATTGCCTGTCCGTGCATACGGTATACTAATAGCCCTGCTTCATACACTCTCCCGAGTGCTGTCACACGGCCACACCAAGAAATGTAACAGTCGCATGGACTCCCAGAGTGCGTGGAATTCCCAGCGAAGGCGCATTACTGCGACTCCAACGCTTCTATACCTGCTTTCCTTGCAACGATATCTGATCTGACCAATTGGCGAGGACGGCAACTACCTTTCCTAAAACGACAGTAGAACAACGATGCACACAAAGGCAACTATCCCTATCGCTATCCCCCCCCCCTCCCGATCGGTATAAGTGGTTATACCTGTGCGTGTCGGCCGCAATTAACCCAGGTTCGAATCCTCGGTCACTGGGCCCACAATGTAGAGAGTAGTTATTGTATGCTATGAATTTAAAGTAGAATATAATGCAAAACTAAGACGTATTAGATTGTGCTTCACTAAAGAAATATATTGTTTACAAACAACCTCAGACCGTTTCACGTTACACGTTCGTCTCTCGTGCCAGTCGTCAACTCTCACGTTCAAATGCTCCTCCAGTCTTATATGACGACTCAGTGTCCACATCAAAGCCCAGTTCCGATACTCATACCCCAATCACACACCACCGCTCTCGCTCGATTCAAAGTAGTTACGGACGAATGCACCCACATGGCCAGCATGTGTGGACTGAGTGTCAAACTACACTCTTAACCCATAGCTGCTAAGTGCCCCCACCTAACTAATTCTAATCTAACATGGAAAAGAAAATGGTCCGATCCCTAACCAGGATGCTCCTATATTTGACCTAATTCCAATGCGAACGATATGTAAAAACAGCGGTGACAATAGTAGTGGATCATTACAAGACTAGGGGTGGGACCTCGTTAGCCAGTGCTGGATATTACCGGGAAGGTGGAGGGTGTAGAGTCAGGAATATTGACAGGGATAGGGTGGATTAGTCGATAGAGGTAGTGGGATAAGGTACAGGATACGGTGGAGTGTAGAGTAGTGATATACAAGGGACTAGGGGTGGATGTGTAAGTAGTCGGGGATATTACAGGGAGAGTAGCGGTGGATGTGATAGTTGTAGTGGATCTACAGGGATAGGGTGGAAATGTTCGTAGTCAGTAGTGGGCATATTAAGCACGGGATAGGCGTGGATGTGTAGCGCGTAGTCGGATACTCAGGGATTAGGCGGTGATGTGTTCAGAGTCAGTGATATTTACAGACGATAGGTTTTGGATTGTGCTATCAGACGTACGGTGGCCAGATGTTACACGAGAAGAAGTGGATCGGTTCGCGTAGCCAAGTTTTTAGTGTGATTATTACGAGGGATCAGGGGATGTGTAGATTAGTCGATATTACAAAGAGGATAGGCTGGATGCGGAATATGACGTTATGTGGAATATGTACAGGGAATAGTCGGTGGTGATGGGGTAGCAGTTACGTGGTATACAGCGGGAGCACGGACGCATCGGAATGGGATAGAGAGCAAAGAGTCAAATGGGATATTACAGAGAATAGGGTGAATCTGTAGAGTNCGATCCTCTCCTCGGCCGATCCATGCCTCTCCTGAGCCTGCAAGCAAACAGAAAACACGTCAAACTGCATCTCTAACACGCGTGATTGAATAATTTCATCGGATCAATTTTCGTCCATCTCTCCGATAGACTTCCACGAGGAAGTCTATCAAGGAGAGATGGACGAAAATTGATCCGATGAAATTATTCAATCACGCGTGTTAGAGCTGCAGTTTGACGTGTTTTCTGTTTGCTTGCAGGCTCAGGAGAGGCATGGATCGGCCGAGGAGAGGATCGAGCGACTAGAGACCCAGCTCGACGAGCAGAGATCTGAACTGCAGAGGGTGAGTGTCTGCGGAGACAGGAAGCCACACAGTCAGGCTGGGCGCATGCGAGCGTGCGTGCGTGCGTGCGTGCGTGTGTGCGTGCGTGTGTGTGTACGTGCATGTGTGTGTGAGCCTTCTCCCCTACTTTCCTTCTCCTACTGTACGTTCCTCCTTCTACCTGAACCTCTACCTCCTGCACCTCACCGTCCCTGCTTCTCCTACCCTTCTCCTCCCCCTCCTTTCCCTCCTCCTCCTCCTCCTCCTCCTCCTCCTCCTCCTCCCCCTCCTCCCCTGTATGTGGCGGTGACTGTAGGTGGCGCTGGTGATGTTGCAGGCGCGGCAGCGGGAGAAGATGAATGAGGAACACAACGCGCGTCTGTCTGGCACCGTCGACAAGCTGCTATCGGAGTCGAACGAGCGACTGCAGCTCCACCTGAAGGAGAGGATGGCGGCGCTGGAGGAGAAGAACACGCTCACGCAGGAGCTGGAGAAGACGAAGAAGCTGCTAGAGGAAACCCTGCAGGAGAAGGTGGGTGCAAGGAGGAGGGGAGAGGACAGGGGAGGAGGGGAGAGGACAGGGGAGGAGGGGGAGAGGACAGGGGAGGAGAGGGAGATGACAGGGGATAGTGGGGAGATGACAGGGGATAGTGGGGGATGACAGGGGATAGGGGGAGAATACAGGGGAGAAGGGGGCGAGAAAGGTAGGAGAAGGGGAAGTGATGGAAGTGGGGGAAGGGAAAGTGAGCGAGGTGGGAGAAGGGCAGGCAGAGGAAGGAAGGAAAACGAGGGGAAGAAAGGAAGGTAGGAGAATGGGGAACGGTGGTGGGTGTAGCAAGGTTGTGAAGATGGGTGGGTAGGGGAAGGGATAATGGTGGGGGAGGGAGGAAGGTGAAATAGAAGAAAGGTAGGGGGAATGAAAGAGAAGAAATGTGGGGGAGGGAAAAGTAGAGGAAATGAGAGAAAGGAGGAAGTAGTGGCAGGAGAGAGAGATAGAGATGGATGGATGGAGAAGGTAGGGTAGGATGAAGTTGGGGGAAGGTAGAGATGCAAGACTAGAGATGGTAGAGGGGCGGTGCATGTGAACGATCGGGAGGACAAAGTAAGGGAAGAGAAACACTAGGCGGAGAAAGTAAGGCTGAGAGGGTCTATGTCCCCCAGGGTACTGCCGGAACGTACCCTGGTAACTATCTGATATGGTTAGGGTTAGGGTTAGGGTTAGGGTTAGGGTTAGGGTTAGGGT